AAATTCCGGTAAATGCTACTCTATATACTAATACCCGCATATCCCTTTCCCGCACAGGTTCGATTCCCAGAACCCACATATGGTGATTTTCCAAAAGTCTGCGGCGCCAGTTCCTCAGCCAACTCGATAGTATCCTCATCACGTTGCCGTAACATCAACAATCCAGCATATAGATTACTCACACTGAACGGCTCCGTCCCGTGTTCATACAAAACCTGAAACTCAAATAATTTCGTGGCGCAGTGACGGTATCAGAAAGACTAGGTTATTTTGTAGCGCAGTGAAAACTTCGAATTCGATGTAAATGTCCTCGATTAAAAATTCGCCCCTCAAAAGTCATAAACGAACAACTCAAGGACTACTACATGCTATCCTGTATATTTCCCGTAAATTTTTGCCTAAATTTTCCGAAAATCTTTCGTCACTTTTCTCTAAATTTTCCGTAATTTTTCCGTAGTTTTTCCGTAATTTTTCCGTATTTTTCCGTATTTTTCCGTATTCTTCCGTACTTTTCCGCACTTTTCCGCAATTTTCCCGTATTTTTTCCGTAATTTTCCGTATTTTTCCTTATTTTTCCTTATTTTTCCTAATTTTTCCGTAATTTTCCGTAATTTTCCGCGCATTTCCGAAATTTTTCCGAAAATTTTCCAACCCACCTTATCCAATGTTCCTCTATGCCATAAACTGACTCCTCTCTGCGTAGACAAAACCGCCCCGAAAAATTGCGATTGAAATCGTATCAAAGTCAACTGGTATAATAACTGCATATCCGCGAACTTCGCCAAATCTTGTGACGGTCTCTGAGAAAAAAAAATAAAAAATTCACGAAAATTATAAAACTTCGCTCCGCCTTTTTCTTACATTTCTCGGATCGATGGTAACAGGAAAATGAACTGCTGCCGGTCTCGTTTCTCTGGGAAAAAATGGGAAAATTTCGGCATTTTTTCCGGGAAATTTTCTTACTCAAGATTCAATGAATGTAAATCGAAAGTGCTGGGAAGAACCGTCTCGATATCATCGATCATCAGGGCGTAGCGAAATGTGGAATTTATACCTGAAAGATAGCAAAAAAATCCGCCTAAATTCGAGAAATTTCTCGAAAAAAACTCAAACAATAACAAAATTTCCCGCATTTTTCGCTTACCGCCATTCGACTTCGGTTCAAATACACCAGAGTTACCAGATCTGACAAAAAAAATAAATAAAAATGCACCCACCAGGGATCGAACCCAGGACCTCCTTACTTCAACTCACCACCACCACCGCTTCCCATTGTCGTCTTTTTCCCAGCGTATGGTATCCAAATTTTATTGGCCCAGTAAGCTCCAAGAATCCTATTATTCTCAGGTAAGTAGCTGTAGTTGATATCAGGCGAAACCACGGTGTGAATCTGAATAATTTCGTGGCGCGCGGGAAAAAATTTACAGATAACCACAAAAAACGAGAATTTTCCGCGACAAAGTTGTAGAAAACTAATCCTAGAATTTCAGCGAAATATTTTTTCATAATAATTCTATGGCGCGTGACAAAATTCTCAAGCAAAACTCAAAAAAATCGTCATAACAATTTCGTGGCGCGTGACAGTTTTAAATATACTACTACACCAATTCGTGTGCGGGAAAATATGCACATCATCAACTACATATGTTGGTGACAATATATAAACTGTGTGGGGAATTCTTGGTCAAATCGTCATAATAATTTCGTGGCGCGTGACGTTTTTTTCCATGCTTACCACTCTCCACGTATCATCCACAGGAGTCAACGCAGATCCACAATCCACCACAAATATTTGCCGCGCGGGTAGGCCGATCTCCAAAAGACGCGATAAACACCGGACCAGATTTCTCCTGCCGTCCACATCCCACGTACAAGCGCCATTTCCAGGCAACTGAAAAGAAAAAATTGAAAGAAAAAATTGCTTCGCTCCGCTAAGATCTCACCAGAACTATAGCACACACACTATCAGGGAATACAGGATCACTTCGAGCCTCAACT